TGGGATAAATTTAGAGTTGTGCAAGCATCACCACAATCCAATTTCAGAACGTTCCTATCAACCCAGTAAGATCCCCCATGTGCCCATTAGCAATCAATCCACCTTTTATGTCTCCTCCGCAGGTTTACAGCCTGGGTTAGCCAGGGATGTCTGGATAGCCTAGGTCTTCTCTGGTCTCTTCCTATACCTGCTCAGAAGGCAGCCGAGGTGTGTGGACAACTTTGGGGTCAAGACCCTTTGGGGTTGTCTCATTTCCAGCATATCCCTACTAAATTTCTAGCTTGTCTGCCATTCTGATGCTTTCCCCAACCAGGACTGCAACCTCTGGTTAATGAATCACTGGCCTTCCCTATTCACTTGCCCTAAGATCACCATGTCACCTGACAACATGGCTGGGAGTACGTTTCTCACCCTCTGCCAAACCTGGAGTGAGTTTCTTCCAGCGATGAAACTTCAGGTCTGTTCAATCTGCCTCATGCTGCCAGTACCTTTGTACTGACTGAGCTGGGGTGGGGAGGGAAGCAGTCCTGGGTGAGAAGCCATAGACTACCACTATTTTTGCAGAAATAGAGCCGTTTTTCATGAAAAAAAAAATGCTTCTCAGTTTGTTGTTTGCCTTTGGTCAATTTCTAGATTTCTGAAATGACTGTTGTTGACAGTGTCACCTAGTTTTATCATTTTTCCAAGGAAGATGACTTGCTGACTTGCTTATTCTACCCTATTGGAAGTCTGGAAGTCTGGGTTTGATGAAAAGCAGCTCTCCTTTGTTCAGCTTGTCAGTGTTCCAGCAGCGTTGATCCTTGGACTTCAGGGGACATTTTCCTATAAGTGATGACACCTTCAGAGGAAAAGCCAGGACCCAATGCCACCTTGCCAGAACCGTCAGTCAGGAAGTAGCCAGACATCTCTCAGCATACACAGTCGGACTTGGTTCTTCAGGGGCAACTTCATGGGCAAGATAAGCCCAACTGGACAAGAGAAGCAGCAAAGAAAAATATGTATTAATTATCCATAGGATAAATAAAATCTCCTCCTGTGGATTAAAAGCTGAGACCTAAGCCCTTCCTCAGCCCAAGAAAATCTAAAGTTGAAGACCTTCAGACAAATGACAGCCTCACATAGGAATGTGTACAATTAGACTTCTGAGACAAATCTGTGGGGCTGAAAGCAACTACTGTTTTGAGACTGACATTTTATTCTAAGGAATGTAGCAGATATAGACTGGGTGCAGTGGCTCAAGCCTATAATCCCAGCACTTTGGGAGGTCGAGGTGGGTGGATCACCTGTGGTCAGAAGTTCGAGACCAGCCTGGACAACCTGGTGAAACTGTCTCTGCTAAATTAGCTGGGCATGGTGGCAGGCACCTGTAATCCCAGCTACTCGGGAGGCTAAGGCAGGAGAATCACTTGAACCCAGGAAGCAGAGGTTGCAATGAGTCGAGATCCTGCCATTGCACTCCAGGCTGGGTGATAGAAGGAGACTGTCTCAAAAAAAAAAGGAATGTAGTAAATTTAGTATTTAGTGCTCCTCTTAAACCCAGAGAGAAAATTCATTTTACTAAAATAGCAAGAAGGCAATATAGCAGAATAGCTTGATATGCAGCATCTGGAGCCAAATTCTCGCGGATCGAATTCTTTCCCCACCAACCCTTACCCCTTTTACATGCTGTATGACCTTGGGCAATTTTCACAAGCACCTTTTGCCTCACCTGCCCTACTTGTACAATGCAGAAGAGGATTACAATACCTGTCTCAGAAAATTGGTACATGTGAAAGGCCTTATAATCATGCCTGTTCCATATTATGAGCTCAGTAGATGTCAGTTTTTATTAATATTTTTAAACATGATTGTTTTGGGGTTCCCTATTGGCCAGGAGATTTTCTTACTAGCACTATGGTGGAGCTAGGGAGTGAAAGCAGCAGATTGAGAGTCGTGTTTCTTCCAGATGTAGAATTGTGCCCTATGAAATAATCACAGATCTACTCAGAATGATCCAGTGGCCACTATGCTTCTCAAATACATGTCTGGGAGCTCCTTAGGCCCATCTTACCTCTACCTCCTGAGCTATCGTGCCCCCACTGTGCTGGACCACAGGCCTAGTGACAAAGCACCACTCTACCCCAGCTGGGCATCCAAGAATCAGAGGGCCCTTGACCTGGATTCTCCTAGTGCTTCCCTTCAGCTCTTGTAGCCAGGTCCTTGTAAGCCCGTACTGCCCAGGCCAGCCTACTAGCTTAACCTGACTCCAGGCAATGGCCAACATTCCCTAAAGTGACACTTTGGAGCCCCATAAACTTGCCAAGACTGCTTGGATCTGCCTTTCTGATCATCTGAACCAACCAACCACCAGTTTGATAAAGACAAACTCAGTGAATACCATATTCTAGGTATAGGTCAAAATTACAATTATTCCAGAATTCGACTTCAGTTCTTGCAAGGGCTGCAGAAGGCTCCACAGAGAATTTTAAATGATTCTTAGTATCTTAAAAAGATAGAAAGATGGGCCAACCCCATTTGGAGAACCCAGTATACTTTCCCACTGTCTTGCTATCTAACACAAACTCAGATATACACCATATAGGGCTAAATGATAAAATCAAGGTTAAGACAAACAAATCAAAAGAAAAGAAAAGAAAGCACTAAGAACGCGTTGTTTAAAGTGCTAGTGAACACAGATTATCTAAGTTCAAGTAGCCATGTGAGCTTGAATAAGCTAATTAACCTCACTGTGCCTGCTCCTTCATCTGGAAAATAGGGATAATGATAGTAGTTGCCTCATGGGGTTATTTTAAGAAATAAAGGGCATAATGTGTGTAGCACACTTAGAACAATGCCTCACACTTTATATCGATGCTTATAAAAGTTGGCTAGTTTTCTACTCATTCTTATTATACTATTTGCTAGTCAGATGAATCTACACATCCTAACTGCTGGTCCATGGAACTCAAAAAGACCACAAAAACTTAGCACTAAATGGATTTTTAAGATATGAACTCACATTATTCTTAATACAGTAAATTATATAGTAAGTCACTGTTTTCAATGCCATTTGTGTTTTCAGTGAAAAATAGAGGAAAGAAGTGTATAAATATTTTGCTCCATTTGTTTAAAATGTTAATAAGAATTTAGTCTGTGCTTTCATACTTTTAATGGTCAGTGGAGGAGAAATTTCATATTTTACTGATATACACTAAGCCAGCATTGGGAAATGCTGCTAGGGGAATAAACACTAGGAAAGAGCCTATTACACTCTTTTATTCCCATATAAATTTACAGGTTATTAGATTAGTGACTGTCCCAGGACACATTCAGTATCAATAATAGCATTAAAATAATTAGAAAAAAGTTATTTAAAACCACGTTACATATATTTGTAGCACATATAACAAAGGTATTTTATTCACAATGTCTTAAAACCTCTTAGGTATCAATTAGAAACTGATCAACAATTCAGTTTATAAATAACAAAACAAAGTGAATAGACAATTTATAAAAGAAATACAAATGGTTATATAGTATAAAAAGATGCTTAATCTCACCAACAACAAACAAAATGTAAACTAGTGTATATTCTTCTAACACATTGGGATAATTGTTGACACCCAGGATTAGTAACAGTTGGTGGCAATGTGAACTGATGCAGTCAATAGCAAGAATGCTACAAGACCTGTCTTCCTCTCAGGTTCAAAGCTACCTGAAAGGATCTGCCTCAAAGTTCCATCTGGTCCGTGGGCTCATACTCAGATGGGTGCAGGGCTCATATCCACTGGGTCGTGGGCTCATATCCCCATCCAGTCCATGGACTGATATCCTCTGGGTCAGATCCCCATCCCTAAACCAACCACTGTGGTTGCAGAATGCAGTCCCCTGACTGGTTTATGCTGAGTCAGAGTTGGAGCTGCACCCAAAGAAGAAAAACATTGGGGAGTCTTCAGCATTTAAAGCCACAGAATTGGATCAAATCATCCAGGGAGAGAATTTAGAGAACAGAAGAGCCCTAGAACCAAGTCCTGAAAAACTCTAATGTGGCTACAGATTCTGGGTGTATCTTTCCACACTTTCTCTGTTATATTTATGTACATATGTTTTGTTTTGTTAATATACAAGAGATTTGCTCGTATGTATCCATAACATGTTTGTTTGTTTCACTTACCAATATATCCTGGAGAAATTTCCTTGTCTGGTATTTCCAAGTTTGGAGCCTCCCTGGTTCATTTCTCAGAAGAATTAACTCTTGACTGAAGCCAGGAAGGAAGCAGAGATGGTTAGCTCTTTCAACACAGCTGCTTTATACCCTCACCTTCCTGGGTAACTGGTACCATCATTTCTTAAGAACTTGATAGGGTTTTCTCTCTTTGTGTTTTATCATTCATTACCTTTTTCAGGATTTGTTTTCATATTTTGATCTCTTTGGAGCTATATCTGTGCTGTTGTTTCAGTGAGATTTGAGCAGGGTAGGTGTGTAAATCATACAATCATGTGTTTAAGTATACATACATATATATATAAAAATCACACCTGCCAGGCGCGGTGGCTCAAGCCTGTAATCCCAGCACTTTGGGAGGCTGAGACGGGCGGATCACAAGGTCAGGAGATCGAGACCATCCTGGCTAACACGGTGAAACCCCGTCTCTACTAAAAAATACAAAAAACTAGCCGGGCGAGGTGGCGGGCGCCTGTGGTCCCAGCTACTCCGGAGGCTGAGGCAGGAGAATGGCGTAAACCCGGGAGGCGGAGCTTGCAGTGAGCTGAGATCCGGCCACTGCACTCCAGCCTGGGCTACAGAGCCAGACTCAGTCTCAAAAATAAAAAATAAAAAATAAAAAAAAATAAATTTCACAGTTGTTCTAAAGGAAGCACTTGATGGTCATGCCCCCAGTGGAGAGCAGCCAGCCCTAGTCTCTGAAGCTGGGTGTCACATGAGGAAGGCCAAATCTGAAGAACACCATACTAAAAATCCATAGATCATGAATGTGGTCATTGATCACAGATCTCAAGTTCCAGAATGCTTTGGAAGGATATTTCAGGGATACAAACTCAAAATATTTTCAGGAGCTGGGCAAGTAAAGTAACTGAGTGGATGCAGCTGCATGTAAAGCAATGAGGAGTGGTGATGATTGTGTTAAACTGGGTGTTCCCCAGGTCTAAATGGGGCAGCCTCTACTCAGTTCCAGCTAACTGTTACCACGAAGGATCATGGTCCCAGAATTGCCAGGTTTTCTTATTTCCCAAGAGAAGACATAATCTCAAATTGTTATGCAAAACTGCCCAATTGTTAGTGTTGCCAATTAGTTCAAATTAGTTGTGGGAGTTCAACAAAGGACACTTGCCCTGAGACAGTTGAGCTAAATAAGACTCTCAAGTTGCTTGTGGTGGTTCCTGCCTTAGATTTTACAAGAAGTTAATTGAAGATAAGTAAAGTTCTATTGCTACAAAATAAGTAGTAAAATGAGGAACCTCATTAACCCATAGGGCACAATTAGGGGTGAGAATAAAAATAAGCGTTCCCTAAAGTTTCACTAAATTCATGGAAGGCATAACCAAAATTAGAGTTGCTGAGGGTATTCAGAGATGTAAGACACATCCCTAAGTGCTCAAGAAGGTCACGCAGGCTATTGACAACACAGTCTTTCACGGCCCCATCAGAACAAATCTTGATGAGGAATGGACAAGAGGGTGACAGTGTCACCAGTCAACTCAGATCCAGGATCTCACTGGGAGTGGGAAGGTAAGGGGTGGGGTGTGGTGGGTGAGGGGAGTCAGGAAAAAGAAAGTGGGTTCTGTTTCCTTGGCCTCTCAAAGCTTCAGTTTCCTCATTTATACAGCAACGGGGCTGGGCCTGAAAGGCTCTCTTAAGTCCCTTCCACTCTGCAGCTTGCACTCAAGCATGGTCTGGTTTCGTTTCTGTTCCCCTGCTATGACACAGTGCTGTTTTCTGACCAGCAGGAGCAAGCAACACCTCTTGGAC